AAAGGGCTGCTCCTTGAATGCCACAGCCAAGTCGAGTCGATAAAAGATTTTAATTCACTTTTGATCGCGTTTGGGAATCGCACCTATTGAAATCTTGGCCCTGTCTTGACCACCCAAAAGCGAAGAGCCCATTAAAAAGTCATAAAACTGGGCTTAAGTAGTATCGACAGTATCGAATCGCCCTGAAGCCACATGATCCCGGCTAATTGAAAAGGTAAAAACTGAAATTTGTGTAAATTATTTTCTGCATAAATTATCCATTTGATGGCTGTGCAGTGGCTGGCATGTTGGCACCTGGTGGGTCATCTTCTATCCCGGGTTTCCATAGCCTGTCATCAAGGATTTGCCATCGCCTGGGTCTAGCTGCCCCACTGGGTTGTCAGGGTTGCGTACAAAAATAGCTAAACAACGCAATAAAGACGGCTAACAAAGTTTATTTTGAAAAATACATCATTGGGGGAAATTAGAAATTACTTGTAGTAATTTCTGTAAAGACTAATCGGGTAGATTGTTTCTTAAAAACACATTTTTATAAAATATGTTCAACTGAATTTAAGAACCCTATACAGTTAACTTATTAAATAACCTAGGTTTATTTTCTTCAAATCCTTAAAGCTTGAGAGCCAAACAAAGCAACTGGAAATTTTGTTATAATTCCAGCTCCCTATCTCGAACCCTAGTCAAGTTTGGCGTGAATCCCGCCGAGTTGGCAACCCTGACTAGCACCTATTGACAATCTGACAATCAGGCGAGTTTATGCCGGGTTTTATGGTCTCCGTGGAGCAGTTGGACATTCGGTTGGGTTGGGTTTGCTCGACCAGGTTGGTGGTCATTTTGATGGCTCTGGACTAGGGATTGGACATTCGTGGCCCGAGGCCCTGGGCGGGTCGTTAAAGTTTTGACGATCCCTCCGGAAGCATTTTAATTTGTTTTGGCACCTCAGCTTAAGGCTAAAAGCTGGAAGCGGATCGAAGTTCGGATTTAATTAAATCCCAACGAAATCAGAGTTTTATTTATATGTCTGCCTGGCGTTTTGTTAACCCATTAGCGGCGACAACGTTTTTGCCGGACAGTAAGGCCAAGTATATTGCAGTGGTCATTTTACAGTTGTCTGGTCTGCAGAATACAAAAAAAAAAACGCTGGATCACTGGATCTGGCGGGGACTGAGGGGAGATCCAAGATCCGAGATCGGACTTTGGAGACCGGGGAGAGAGTGGTCTGTCTGAGGCGCTGCCATGTTTAGTGGCAATTAAAATGTTTTTATCTTATTAGTGCGTCTTATCTGCGGTTGCCATTTTAAGATATATATGAGAGGGACGTGCGCGAAACGCCGACCACAACAGTTATCGATTGTGCAGCATCTATGGGGCATGCCTCCATCCCAAGTTGGGGCCAGAGAAGGTAGCTTAGAGATTAGGCTTGATTGAAAAATTTCCAGAGTTCTTCTATTCTATTAAAGCGATTAACCTGACCGGGATTCGCTTCCTCTATTCGCTACTCGATTCCCACAGTCTAAATATTTTTCGAGGAAGCCTACCGGATCTGTAAAGGTATTTTAGGTTGATTGGAAAGTTTTCAGAGCTTCAAAATTAGTTCTGCTTTTCCCTAATGTTCGAAACACTTTAAAGAATATTATATATATACATAATATGAAAGCTTCTTCTATAGTCCTAATTCTGTAAAATAATTTTCCAGACATGTAGACTATAAAAAAAATATGGTACCGTATCCCATAGTACTGTTTTCCCAAAGATTTTTTTATGAGCTAGGACTGACTTTTAACCTTTTGTTTAGTTTTGGACAAGACCGGTGATTGCCCATGTCGTCTCCAGAGTCCGGCAGTTAATCACATGCAACACCAATCCATTCCAAGCGCCTTTTAAGCCGGCGGGGCCAGACACAAATCAATCGGGCGATTTGCACGCCTCGACATTTCTCGATTGAATTATTATCACCGGAGTGTGGCTACCAATATCCAGGGATTGGACTCTGGAGTTGGGAGTCTGGAGACCCGGGTTTCGAAGGTGGAAGGGAAGGGGGTTGGAAGAACGCGGTCCGTTGACCACCACCACAATGCCCCAGTGGGCACTGACCACTGACCAATGGCCATGCTCATGTTGGGCTCCTGGTCGAGTGGAGCAGAGGCGACCATATTTGTAGCAGGCGGGCCAACAAGTTGCAAAACAAATTTGTCAGAGTTTTTACCATTTTTGGGCAGGCGTTGCAGCTTTGGATATGTGATTTGTGCAATGCGTTGCTGCTGTCTATGTTGCAGCCGTTGCTGTTGCTAGTGTTGCTGTTGCACTTGCAATTGCAATGCCAATTGCATTGGCTGTTGTTGCTGGGGACGTTGGTTCCGGCGCAATGTTGTCATTAGCTAATTTGGCAGCCGTCTGCGTTTAATTAGAGGGCCGCCGCGGAGCTCCGACCCGGAGCAACACTTTCGATTTTAGTCCCCTAAGCTGCCCCGTGATCGGCCACGCCCTCAATCCGGCCCTGTCCCGCCCCTCCGATCCATGTGCACTTTAAACAAATGTTGTACGCAATTGGGGGAATATATAAACAAGGAATTTCATTATAGTAAAATAATAGATTCTTTAAAAACAAAAGCTTAAAGAGTATTTATATTCTTATATTTAAACAAATTTGAAATATTGTTTTATTTTTTTTCACTTTAAGAATGTATATGTTTTTGAAATCGGTTTAGAAAGAAGTACTGCTGCAAGCGTTTAACAGTTTCGGGAACTTTGATAACTTTTGTGCCTGATGCTAATGAATTCTAAATAATTTTTAGATTATACCATCTTTAAAAGTTTGAAATGCGTACATTTCCTACAAAAAAGTGTTTAGACTTTTAAGAAACCTGTTTGAAAACAGGAGTTTAAAGTTAACTGAGATTTTTTCTGAGTGTGCCAGGTGGAGATCACGTCTCACGTAGAGGCCATTAAAGGCCACAGCATCACGATCGAGTTGAGGCTGGAGTCGGAGCAGGAGTTGGAGCTGGGCTTTTGGTTTTCGGTTTTTGGGCTGGAGATGGAGATGGAGCTGGGAGTCGGAGCTGAGTGAATGACTTTGAGCCGGCCTGTCGTCACACCCCCATGTAATCCTCGCACGATCTCTGCGCTTGAACCTTTTTGATTAGGGCCGGGGCAACGGAACCGCCAACTGACTGACTGGCAGAGACGTCCACTCCCACTCCCCCTGCGTATGCCCCATTCCGAATCCCCCACTCCGAATCGCCTCGCAAAGGTCGTTAAAGTCGCATCGCTGCCGTTGCCGCTGGGCCCGCAGATTTTGGCGGGTCTTGGATCTTGGCTCTTGGCTCAGGGCTCAGGGCCTTGTCCTTTCTGCGCTTCATCAGAGCTTAGTTATGATCTGGAGTACCCTTTCCAACTGGGTGGGTCTACTCCGTAATCATGTTGGTTTCTTTGGGGATATTATATTAAGAGAAAGGATCGAAAGTTCTTAAATGATATATATTTTTTTAGACGATAGAAATACTAATAATTATTTTGGAAACCAGTCTTCACAGATATTATCCATTAGCAAGCATGGTATGGTATTCATTATTAAATAATCTTTTATAAGAAAATACTCTTGAAAACTTAGCGGGTGATGATAAATTTCCTTAGTTAAAATGCTGGAAAAACTATATCGTATTTCCAAAAACGATCTTCAAAGATGATATCTATAGGTACGAAAGTCGTCTTTCATAGCACTCACTATTCATACACTCATACTCATATACAACCAAGTAATTTAACTGTTACCTACATTAGTTCAAAATATTTATCATGCATTCCTGTTTCCATTCGATTTTCAACCCATAATTATATGGCATTCCAGTTGGCCATGTTTTAATTTGTCACAATTTGTCAGCATGTAATTGCAATTTCTCTGGCCATCATTTCAGGTTCGCTATAGAGTGTACCAGAGATGTCTTTCGAATATCCACAACAAGCCAACTTTATTTTCTCTTTTCATTGAACGTTGTGCAAATGTGCTAATCCGAAAGAGGGGGATGCTCAATCCAATATTTGGTAGGAGTATTTTTGAAATACCGTCACGTTTCAACATTTTACTACTCACTTGTGGCACGTTGTTGCCATTGAGCATATCAGTTTGGAATTTTATTGGCCACGCTTCTTGCCTGCGTAGCTCTCCTCCGATCCTCTCGCCTTTCATCTGGGGTTTCAATTCGTCCCATCCTCATCCTCACCTTCGCCTTTGCCATTTGGAGCTCGGCTCACTGATCTTGGCCTTGATAGCCGCATATGAAGGCGGCCACAAACCATTCCCCACTCTTCCGATCTGCAATCTCCAGTCTTCAGTCCCCGTTCTCCATTCTCCATTTTCCACTCTCCCGGCTCCTGACATTTATATTGGCAAATATTTTAAATATCCCCCGCTCCCCGCGTGGGAGTTGTCCTCCTCCTGGCCGATTCGAGACTTCAGGTGTCGTTATCGCGTCTCAATGGTCTTTATGACCAGGCGTTGGAGTGGGGGAATTTCGGACAGAAGACTGCAGAACTACAGAAGGTCCCACAGAACAGTCCTCGTCATTGTTTCTGAATCTGCAGACTCTTAACTATAATTGGAATTTTTATTGTCATGTGAAGTCTGAGCAGGATTGGTCTAGTGGAGTCTCTATGGGTCGGATCAATATAGGACAAATAACCATCAAACCCTTTATGAGGGATAAATGGTCTTCTAGTTTTAATTAAGAAAGGGTTTTAAGGTAATACTTTTGGGCTTGCAATAAAAACTACAGGGTTTAAAGTAAGATACTACCGAGTATACAATTTTATTGTATATCTTTAATCGTTAACTTTTAGTGTGGTTCTGTATTTAAGTATTAGAAACATCATTATGGGGTACATCTTATATTCTTATAGTAACATATTATAAATGGGAATATCTTTAGTTATTGTCGTATAACGTATCTAAAGATTCTACTTACATATTTCTTAAAAACATTCTTAATATCTATCACCCACAGCTGTCACACCATTACCCACGTATCGCCAGAATGGCGGCGATGCTGCTAGCAGGACTACTCCACCTGTGGATGGACTGCCTCTGGGTTACGAAGATTCCAGCACTTTAGAGCTGCAGGCCCAGGAGAACGACTACGTGCTCGAGGAGTCCGCATTGAGAGTACCGATCTCCCCGCCGCCCAATTACAGTCCCCACCCTTTGACGCCACCACCCAGCTACACAGAGAGATCTAACCAGGTGCAGAGAGCTGATGCAGTGCATCCAGCTAGGCCAGCGCGGGTAGTAGTGGTTCCACCATCCGTAGGAACTTTGGGAGCCAGTGACTTAGCAGCACGTCAGCAGGCAAGAAGGAGACGAAGACTCCGAGAACTTCAGCAACAGCAGCTGCAATTCGCTTCCAGCACAGATAGCTCCAGTAGCTCCGGGTCCAGTTGCTCCGAGTTGGGAAGTGGAGGCAGTGCCACCAGAAGGCAGCGACGACGCAGGCGGGGTCTGAGGGGTAAGATTCCCAAAAGCTTTCTCCTTAGAATCACTTAATCCTAACTTATACCATCTCCCTTTACAGATGCATATTGTCCGGATCTCCTGCATGCCTGCTCCCTGATTCTCCAGCAGCCCGGCAGCAGCGACAGTTCCGTGGGCAACTTCACGGCTACACCCCCACCCCCGCCCTCGACAAGAGCTCCTGGTCAGGATCCCCGTCCCGATCCGGAGGAGAGCTTCGAGTACAGCTCCGACTATGTGGAGATCGACGAGCTGCTGCCACTAGTCGCCGGTGGGCGAGCGAAGAGCACTCCGCAGCTGGCGATGGGTCAGAACCTGAGCCTCCGAAGGCCGCGCATCTCATTGACCTGGGTGCTCCGAGAGCAGCAGCAAACGCAGACGGCTCCACAGTCCCAGTCGCCACCCTCCCCGCAGAAGGAGGTGCCCCAGAAGGAGTCGGTGGATAACCAGTTGGATCGCAAGGAGAACGAGCTCTTCCCGGCCAGAACAGAGCCCGTTCCCACCCAGCTCGATGTCACCAAGAAGCGTTACCGGGTCAAGCAGCTACCAAGTGGCGGTGAGCCTCTTAACGGCTATGCCACCACGCCCACCGCCCACCAGGCTCCTCCCAATGGCCACCTGGCCAACCAGAAGTTCTTCAGCAACCAGAATCTGCTGGACGTGTCTCGGAGCGGTCCTGGCGGTGCTCCAGTGGCCGCTGCCTCTACCAAAGAGCTGCTCTTCGTCTGCACACCCCAGCGGGCGCCTAGGAGCGATAATCACAGCGAAGCCCTGCTCCTGGCCAGAAAGCGAAACGAGATCCGCAAGAAGTTGGCATCCCGGCTGCAGCAGGCGAGATCCAGTGGCTCACAGACCGGAGAGGCCAGAGGATCGGTCACGGGAGCAGAGTCCCTAAAATGCACCTCCTATTCAGAGCCCAGTTTGGTGGCTGCCTCGGAGGGTGGAGGAGTAGGAGGATCAGGAGGCGGAGTAGCAGCTGCCCCCCAGCAACAGCGGCGTCATAGGCATCGCAAGCGGAGGGATCGCAATCGGGTGCAGCGATTTGGCTATGAGATCCATAACGTGGACGAGTTCCTCTCCCGCTGCTCGCTGGCCACTCCGGGCAACATACCCGTGGTCCTGGCCACAGCTAGTACTCTCTACCAAACGCGACCAGGTGGCTACCAGCTGGAGATTCCCCTGCCCCTGGGCATGGTGGTGAATGCGGTGTTCAAGAACCAGAACTGGCTGTATGTCCAAACACCCCACGCGGAGGAGGGCTATGTGGGCTACGCCTGCTGTCTGCCCTTGGGGATTCTGCCCCAGCAGGCGAGGGCCGGCTCCAGGAGCACCCCCTGCTGGGAGTCCAATGCGGACGTCTTCCCCCGCCCCTGTGGCAATATGACGGATTCGGAGAAGGAGATCCGCCTGCGCGGTGGCACCCGCTCCGATGGCGCCCGCACTCCGCGCAGTAGCTCCAAACCCACTGAGGATCAGAGCCTCAAGATCAGCACCACCACCATCAACAACAACAACCACCACAGCAACAACAATAACCAAACGAAGGGTGGCGGGAGCACCACCAGCTCCTTGTACGGGGAACAGCAGGTGGACAAGCTCTACCTGAGGGCTGCCTCCAAGCCGCGTCTGGTGGAGAAGGCCTACGCCCAGTTGCGCTCCACCCGCCAGGTGGCTGCTTCCGGTTCCGCTTCCGCCAAGAGTGGCGCCTCCCAGGATGAGTACGTCACCCTGCAGCAGAAGTCGACCAAGAAGCTGTGCCCTTCTGCGCAGGCCCATCTCCACCAGTCACAGCCTGCGGCGAGGCGTCTCTCCAACGTATCCTACATCACCAACGGCCAGAATGGCCAGCATCTGCATCCCAAGCTGGTGCCATTGCCACCGTACGAGCACAAGCCGGCCAAGAACCAATCGGAGGCCGACGCCACCTTGAAGGCGCTCCGTCGTCAGCAGGAGGTGGGTCAGCGGCAAACTCTAGTCGCCATCAATACGGACTACATCACGGAGAGCATCGCAGTGCACAAGGGCGAGATCGTGACGCTGTGCGAGTGCCGCGAGTCCAAGGATCAGAGGCAGTGGTTCTACGTGCGGACGCGGGATGGACGAGAGGGCTTCATCCCAGCCGAGGTGGCCGGACATGGCTACCTGTAGATCGTAACCTCCTGGGAGGGGTCGTTTTGGGTCATCTATGTGAATCTTGGAAGCTATCAGTAATCTAGGGAAATCGTTAAGGGACTTTTCTGAACCCTTCCTCATATCACTTTAGTCATATTTATATGTTTCCATCTTGTATTTAAAAAATAACAAAACGAAATTTGCTTAAAATTTTGGATCTTGTTATCATCACCTCTATTAAATCATAAAATTCGAAATCATAGTAAATAACTACGTTTATCCTAACTAACATACATTTTCCAAAGTTTATCTTCCCCCTTTTAAGATTCTCTTTCCCAAAACGACCCAACCTAAACCACCAACCCACCCCAAAAACAAGTCAAGCTCCACATTTAACTCAATTAACATTGTAACCATCTTAAACACTTATAGATCACACATTCCATTCGCGATCCTTAGTACGCTTCTAGTTGTAAACTGTACTCGTATCGGTGTCTGTAATTGAATACTTGTATCTTTGTATGTGTATGTGTGTGCGTGTGGGTCCTTTGAAGGACCTTGTATTTATCTAGCCTAGCATTACGAGTAGTCTATGTAATAGAAAACTTGCTTAACGAAAATCAAAGAGGAAAGCGCAGACGGAAACTATTTATAAAATTATTGTACTTGATGCTTCTACTAAATAATATTAACAGACATTGAAATAAATATATGAAAGTCGGTGTTCGATTTTTGATTTCTCTTGGGGAAATGCGTGGAAGTTAAAAACACTTTTTTAAAATATTTGAATTTATGTTTTTATTATCCGCGTTTTTAAATAATCGAATATGTGTATATGAAGAATAACATAATATGGGTTAACGTTTACACAATCGTATTATTCCAATACTTGACCTACTTTTAAATATTTGATCTAAAATCGATTAATCTAAGTTTTTACAATTTTGGCCAAACGTTTCCTGATTACAGAACTTCATCATTTAATTTTGATAACAATTAATCAACCCAATATTTCATGGTATTAAAAATAGTTTATCAATGCCTAATAAGGTCTCTTTTAATGTATTGTTTATGCACTCTAAAATGAAATCGCTTATTAAAAATATAAATACCATATGCTTATCCTATTGATATCAATCTGTATATGCATAGGTTCGATTCAAATCTATTGCAACCTTCGATCCGACGAGTTCGTCTTAGAGACTCTCCACAATTTCAAGGAAGAGGTGTTGTAGGTACTTAATTTAATATGATTTCACTCAAGGTGTTAGTCGCGTTGATGGTGTATCAAATGAGCATAATCGTTAGTAAAATTTAGAGCGAGTGAAGTAGACATTTACAAAAGTTGAGGACCGTTGCTGGGTTGTAAAGGGCCCCTAAATAATAATTTACAATTGGTTGAGCTGACAAGGCTACACTGAGCGGACATACAAAAGGACAATTACAAATTAAATACAAGACAAATGCTACACTGAAATACATAACATCACGACGTACTCAACTAAAGTTCTAGGAAATATTTAAACTAAAAATCCCAAATGGTGTAGGGAAGTCTTATCCTATGCAGACACATTAAAATATCATGACGACTTAAAAGCTAGCCAGCGGGTGAAGTGACTGTTCCGGCTGCCTACTTGCGGAATTCCGGACTGGAACTGGGCGACGCCGTCGACACATTGTCGAGGTTGGTGTTCGTATTGTCGAAGCTCTCGTGCTGGGGCTCCGGCTCCGTGGGCGGCAGCGGTTTGTTCAGCAGCACCGTCATGTTCTTCACGTTGCTGGGCTTCTCCTCGTCCTGGTTGATGTTGAGCATGGCATCGTTCATGCGGTGGTAGTGCGGCTTCTGCGAGGTGCTGGGTCGCGAGTAGTCCAGGTGATCGTACTCATCTAGGGCAGGAAATTCAAATAATTAGACCACTGACACTTTTAAAAAATTCTCTTAACACTGGACATGAGTGAAATCGAACAGGGCACTACACAGAATGGTTCTTTAACACTTGCTTACCCTCGGGAAACAATATCTTGCTATAAATTTTCACTGATTCATGCCGAAATGTGTGCAAATGTGGAGTACATAGTTAGTTGCGAAATTTCTTAGCCTGATTATTGTAGAATCTAAAGACTTACCGGGGTCCTTGTAGCCCTCCTTGTGCTTGATCTCATCGTAGACGTGCTCCTCCTTCAGGGAATCGTTGTAAACTATAGGATTGGTCGAGTCCGCATTCAAGTTCTTGGTGAGCAGATCGTGGTTGTAGTTGATCGAATAGCTGCCTACTAGAGATACAATAGATAATATAGGTATCCTTAAGCTTACAGCTAAAATATCCTACCCCTGCCACTGGCATTGGAGTCATCGCCTCCGTACTCCGTACTCATCGTGCTCCTTTGATCAAAGTTGTTCATCTTGGAGCGCATATTGTTGGGCAGGAGGCGTGTCTCCGGCTGCATTCCGTACACAGGATTGTCGAAGTTGTGGTTGGGCGGCCAGCTTGTGGGGTTCGTATCATGGGTATAGTGCACATGGGCAATCTCCGTTTTCAGGTTGGACACACGTCGTCGGTAGTAGAAGAACACCGCAAAGATTATGCAAGCGAACAGGGTCATTAGGACCAAGGTCAGAGCCACACTTGCTCGGCTAGCTGCAGGTGAAATGGATTACATTAGTAAGATTGGAGATATAGGGCCTGATTAAAGAACTCACAATCTTCGCTCTGGTCGGCGACTCGTTGGGAGGCGATCAGCTCGTCGCAGTTGTCACCCGTGTAGCCACTCCGGCACACACAACCATGAGCCGCATGGCACTGGAAGTTTGCCGACGGACAGGCGCAGGTATTCATGCAGTGCTCGCCGTAGAATCCCTCCGGACAGACCTCGTCGCAACGGGTGCCCGACCAGCCCGTCTCGCAGATGCACATGCCGTCTGCCTTGCGGCACACCTTGTGGTGCAGACAGCGGCACCGCTGGGCGCATCCTTGCCCGTAAGTGTCCGTGGGGCAGGACTCGTTGCAGTTGGCGCCGGTCCATCCTGGCAAGCACTGGCACTGGCCACTCACATGGTTGCACTCGCCGCCGTGCTCGCAGTTACACTTAAGTTTGCAGCCGGGTCCATAGAGTCCGGCTGGACACGGATGCTCGCAAATGAGTCCCACGTAACCAGTACGGCAGAGGATTTCACCAGTGATGTGATCGCAGCTCTTGTTGCCTGGGAAATAGATGGATATCAGTAATGAATACCTATATATGTTGGCAAATCTTACCATGTAGAATCTCCGGACAGCGCTCCTTGCACTCCATGCCATAGAATCCAGGCGGACAAGGCTCTGCGCAGTCGGCTCCCGTCCATCCAGGTGAGCAGATACAGTTGCCGGAGTCGGGATCGCAGGAGGAGTTGTTCAGGCATCTGCAAACTTTATCACAATTTTCACCATAGTAACCGCTCCGACAGTTGGTCTCGCAATGAACGCCTTGGGTGGTTCGATTGATCGTTGGGCATCAGACAAGTACAAACAAAAACCCAGAAACACACAGGTGCAAAACCAGAAAGGCAAATTAAATTAAAGAAATGAAACGAGGCCATGCAAAGTAGATGCAATTAAATGAAAGTAATGAGATGAGTGCAGAGCATTAATGTATAAAGTTGGTACTGATAGTCGCGTCAAAGGGAGGAAGTCCTTGATCCTACTTTAAAATAACAAAGACACTTCTCACACATTTTATCATACAGATTTTAAGGAAGCTTTAAAACAGGTGAGGAACATTTAAAATTCCAGCTCTTGAATATAGTGCCACTGTCATACGACTTTTGTAAGGGATTCTTTGAATTTCAAAACAAAATGACTTAAATGAATCTTGTAAACTACTGCTAATATCCAAATCAACTGAAGAAACTATTTAATATTGAAAAACAAATCATGCAAGATTAAATACTTTAAAGTCACTACCTAAAATAAAAAAAATCCTTTGCTATTCAAAAACTTTATAACTTGGGTGTTTTCTAGTTTTTTCTGAAATTTCTGACTTTTTTAACTTTATGGTCTCAAAGATTATCAAGGTTATCAAGGTATTTTCTAGTTTCCATGAGAATTGTGACTAAGGCCGTCAGTATGATTTCCCCTATGTTCTATGAACTTAATGAGGTGAATGCCATGAGGTAAATAGAAACGCGCCAGTACCTCCCCAGTCCTGTTTGCACACACATCGTCCGTTGGTGGCGTCGCAAGCCAGGCTGTTGTTGAAGTCGCACTGGCACTTCTGGGCGCAGTCGTGTCCGAATCTCCCGGCGTCGCACTTGCGCTCGCACTGCTCGCCCAGCCAGCCGGCGGCACAGGTGCAGGTTCCGTTCTGCGGATTGCAGGCGGCGTTGTTCTGGCAATCGCACACCTTGGCACAGTCCTGTCCAAAGTGGTTGAGGTCACAGGGACGATCGCACTTGATGTTCTTCCAGCCGGCGGTGCAGCGGCACTGACCCGTCTCCGGCTCGCACTTAGCTCCATTCTGGCAGTCGCAGCGCAGGGCGCAATCCTGGCCAAAGAAGCCGGACGGACAGCTCTCCTCGCAGGTGGGTCCCTTCCAGCCCGGCGCACACAGGCAGGTTCCATTGACCGGCGAGCACTTGGCTCCGTTCTTGCAGTTGCAGGTCAGCTCGCAGTTGGGTCCATAGCGCAGGAAGGTGCACGGCCTGGTGCACTGGGCACTGCTCCATCCGATGCTGCAGTGGCACTTCCCCGTGTCCGGGTGGCACAGTTCGGTGTGCTCCATGTCGCACTCGCAGGTGCGGTTGCAGTCCAGTCCGTACTTGTCCGCCTCGCAGATCCTCTCCCCGCACTTGGCGCCCGTCCAGCCGGGATTGCAGATGCACGTTCCATTGGACCGATCGCAGGTGGCATCGTTCTCGCAGTCGCAGGTCATGCTGCAGTTGAATCCGTACGTGTTCAGCGGACACTCGTCGAAGCAGCGCTCTCCCAGATAGCCAGGTGGGCACTCGCACTTTCCTGTGATGTGGTGGCATGGGGCTCCCTTGTAGCACTCGCAGGTCTCCTGGCATCCGGCTCCGTAGCTGCCCACCGGACACTTGTTGGCGCACACATCGCCCGTCCAGCCGGGATTGCACATGCAGGCCCCGCTCTCCGGCTGGCACTTTCCGTCGTTTTGGCAGGGACAGTCCTGCTGGCACTGGGCGCCATGTTTCCCGTCCGGGCAGCGCATGTCACATCTAGTTGGAGCGGAGGATTAGTAGGGTGTTTTGGGAGGATTTCGTGAGCAAAATTAAACGTAGGATGCCATGACAAAAAAGAATCGCGAGGGTTTTTAAATCTCTTAAAAATCTTTGTTAGGTGTCTAAAAGTATGCAACAAAATCGTTAAAGCTTAGAAGTTCAATATGATCATGCAGTAAAACGACTATTCTTTATTCACTGCATACTTTGAGGAACCTAAGTAAAATTTAAGAGATTTCTCCGGATACGGATACGGAATTCTACGTTTAATTTTGCCAGATCCTCGTCCAAAAAGGTCATGACTGCTCCTCGCTTTCCGTCCACTTACAGGGGACCCGTGAATCCGGGCGCACACTGGCATTCGCCGGACACGTGGTGGCACTTTCCGCCGTTCTCGCAGCGGCACTTCTCCGAGCAGTTGGCCCCGAAGAAGCCATCCGGACAGATGTCCGCACAGCGGGCTCCGGCATAGCCCTTGGCGCACTCGCAGTCGCCGGAGAAGGGCTCGCAGACCGCATTGTTCAGGCAGTCGCACTGCATCGAGCAGTTCCGGCCGTACCAGCCGGGTGGGCAATCTACCGAAGAGTGGACACAAACTTGGTTAGCAGCGGTTGGGGTTTACGGGTTCGACAGTTAGTTGCTGCTTTCTTGCTTATTTGCTTTTTTGCCTTTTGCCTGGAAGCCACGACAATCCCGGAAGCTTCCGGGTCTTGCCGCTTTGGTGAGGGAATTAAGTGGCCGTAAGCCTGCTTGCACCTGAATAATTGAGCCGGAGTGGCCTGCGTGGGTGTGTGAGAGAGTGGAGTGTATCGTGTGGGTGGTCGGGGTTAGATTTGGGGTCAAGATGGCAACTCAAAAAGGACAAACCAACTCAAGCTACAAAGCAACATATAGGGGTAAAGCAGAGTACAACTACGGAGATACTAAGTGCAGATCTTCGGTAGTCCAAAGATATAATGCCCTTGCAAAAGCTTTACCTAGGCTTAACCAATCTTAAAATGGTTATACCCAAAAGGAATAATTTAATTTTCTAACTTCTAAAAAATGTTATTTCCGTGAATTCGAACTTTCTTTTTCTCTTACATAAACTGTTTTTAGTGATATTCATTAATATATTTCATTTTTATAAACTTCAACTTGGCCTGCAGTTCAAACATTATTATCTAAGAGATTTCACGTAAAATTGTATATATACTTCTATGTTCTGCACTATTTTCAATTTGGCCTACAGTTCAAATATCATTATCCAACAAATTTGGAAATTTATGAGTTATAAACTTTGAATTTTGCTGGGAATAACACAATCCCCAAAAAAATTATAGAGCCGATTGTCTTTGTTTCATAAAGTAGGAGTGCCTGTTTGATGTCCCGGGCAGAAATACGTGCGCTCGGAATTCTTCCAGGGTAAATTCGTTGGGCTTGTAAATGAATGGTTCTTTGTTGAGTACCGAGGATGAACTGGCATTCTTTACCATATCTTCAGGTGGAGTTGCGGCCGTGGTGGTCTTGGTAGTGATGCCGAGAGCCTGCCAAATGTCGTAATCCGACTCCTCCACCACCAGCGTCTGTGGCCTGATGCTGTGGACACTTGGCGTTGGTGGCGGATAGTACCGAATGCACTGCTCTCTCCTCGCCATGTCGTCCTCGATCTTCTGTACCATCGGATGCTTCAGCGTCTTTGCAAATTCCAGCACATCGGCCATGCTGGGGAAGCGTTCCGTATCCGAGATGAAGGTGTTTTCGTTGAGGAAGGTGTTCCGCCTGACTATTATATCGGCATCCAGCTCTTCGTCCTCGTCCAAATCGCAGTCGCGGCAATCAAAATGGGTGATCTTCATGTTGGCACTTAGAGCACATATCAACCTAGTGCCCAGCTTGAAGCCCAAGGGAATTGCCACCATTGTGAGCCGGCGAAGCGGATCATGATGACGCATCAGGTCACCGATTTCGTCTACAAAAGTCCGAGGACTCGCATCGATCCCCGACAGATTGAGCTCCTCCACGTGCTCGGTGCCCTTGATGCGGTTGCACAGGATGCCCAGCGAATCGCCGCTCATCTTGTTGTGGGCCAATCCCAGATATTTCAGCCTGGTGACACTTGGTCGCTGTAATGCCTCTCCAATGGCTGCCATGGCCCGGGCGTCCAAACGATTGTACTCCAGCTCCAGGGACTTCAGCATGTTGGGCCGCTCCAGCAGTATTCCCAATTCGGGGCCGCAGTCGTCGGTCATCTGATTGTAGCCAAAATCCACCACCTCCAATTGGGGCAGCAATCGCAGAGCTCGACAAAGAGTATACAGCTTAAAGTTGCTCAATCGGCTGTTGCGCAGTCGGAAGATCTGCAGCTGCTGCAGTGCCGCCAATCCCCGAGCCAGGCGAACCATGTCCTTGATGGAAAACAGCGTGTGTCGCTGGTGGTAGTCCCTGCCCACCGCCGGACCCAGAAACTCTAGGCTCAGCGAGACCAGGTTGACAAAGTGGCGCACGAAGCTGAGATCTATGTGGGTGCAGTCATCCTCCGGATAATTAATTTGCTGCAGATGCTGCAGATAGCGCTGCTTGTTGCGCTTGTCCATCACCTTGTCCTCACCATCATCCGGTTCTGGCTCCACTCGGATGTCAAAGGCGCCTGCGATGCGCTGCTTCCGCTTCCTCTTGTTGCGCGGCTCTGGTTCCCTGGACTTCCGCGCCTCAGACCGACGACGCCGGCGCTCCTCGTGCTCCGCCTCCTTGGCAGCCTTCAGATCCCTCAACCGCTGGCGGGCGGCGTTCCTTTCCCGCCGACGCTTTCGCCGCTCTCCGCCTGAGGCATCTTCGTCGTCTGAGTAGTCGACCATAAACTTTGTGTTGAATCCAATGACCTTTGAATGGGCAGAGGGAGAGTACGATCCACGCTCCTCCTCCTCGCCCTCCTCCTCGCCACCATCTAACGGGGTCATAAGCTCATCGCTGGATATCTCAATTCCAGCGGACTCTTCAGATGTGATGTCCGGCTCCGAGTCGTTTTCCTCGTGTCCCACTTTCCGGAAGGCATACTCCGTCAGCGATTGCAGGTGCCGAATGTCCATGGAGCGCACTTGATCCTGAATCAGCACGGCCAGCTGAGACATCTCTTCCTCTGGCCAGAGAGCCGCTGGGCAGGCCTCGACCAGCTCCACGTACTTGAGGCTCAATCCCTTGCCGCGCCAATCGTAATCGTTCAAGCCCTTCAGCACAAGACAAGTGTCCGAGCACTTGGCCAGCACCACGCGCCTCCAGTAGCTCACATCCTCCACATAGTAGCACTCTCGCAGGGGCAGATCTACGTCCAGCGAGTCGTAGTGGATGCGCATCTTCAGCGGATCCTGGCGTACGGCAGCAGGCACGTGGGCATTACCACATTTGGCTAACTGCCGGACGCACAGATCCGACAAAGTGGGCACCTGCCCGGGTCCGTTCAATGCCTCGGCGAAGGTCTCTCTGTTGTGCTCGGAAAGCAATTGACGATGGGCAGTCAGGGGCGTCTTGTAAAGCTCATAGACTGCTAGTAGAGCCGGGTCATTCGGAACGCTCAATCTGTTGGTGTTCCCCCGCGGCAGGTAATCGGAGTCATCCTCATCCATCCTGGGTCTCTCCTTGTGTATTGTAGTGTTCTTTTTATGGTATTTTATGTTTTTCTTCTTTTTTTGTTTACAGTTTTTATTTGACTTTTAAAGTGTTGTCATATTGGAAGATAGGTTTCTTTAGGAAAATAATGTCTTTAGATTTTTAACTATTCATTCCTGAATGCAGTGATTTAAGTTTCTATATTACTATCAGTCCTGTTACTATCAGCTCTTTGTTTGTAAGTCTTGCGTACTTTCCAAATTGACTACTAACTAAGAAGAATCACATCAAAATGAGATAAGAAATATTCGAAACTACAGACAACTTCTAATTTTTGCAAGGGCATTTCAAATGACAAAGCTTATCAACGGGGCTCGGCTCATCACAGACAGTTCGAGGCAAACAAAAAATTATATATATTAAAGCTACAAACAATCAAACAGTAGGATAAGCCGCGCCCTAGGAACACCCAAGGCAGTTCATTGTATAAATTCCGTTAGGAAAACACAACATTTAGGCACAAAGTACGAGTAGGTTAAGAGGTCAACGAACTTATATCACAGGCGGGTCCTCCATAACCATGATCGCACTTGCACTTCTCCGGGGAGATGCATCTTCCGTGCTGGCAAGGTTCAGAGCAATGCGGCACACATTCTCCAGCGCTGGCAATGTAGCCATCTGAAATAGATAGAAACAGATTAGATCTCCAAAAAAAAGTTAAGACATAGATCATCCCAACTCACCACAGCAGTCCCTTACAATACGGTTCTTCATAATCGTCTGGGTCTTGTTGACCACTCGGTGTTTGATTCGATAGGTGGAGCACCTTGGCGGGAATGTGACGCACCAGGTGGAGCCGCGTTCTTGATAGGATTGCAGTTCTGTGTAGACCACTTCCACGGGATACCTAAGGGTAAAATAAAGTTATTCATTAGCTCTAGTTCATTGCTTTGGTTTGAGCAAAGGCCAAGCTTACGTCTCTCTTCTTTTACAGATATTGGGTCCATCCAGATCTTTAAGATCCGCCTGGGCCAGAGCCAGCTGGGCCAGACAGGCGATGAGGATCAGTCGCAGCATGATGATGGCAGTGGTTTCCAGGTTCCAGGTCCTCGAGTGGGTTTCTCTTGCTGATGTAGCTTCACTGGCGCATCACATTGAACTGATAATCACAGTCAGTTTGCACTAAAGGATGACTCAGGCTGCGATTAAACTGCAGTCAACTTGCTGCAAGACAAAGGGAGAATGAAATGCATTAGTCAGGTTGTTGTTCAGAGTATCACTCATTTTAAAATATATAAAGTTTTCTAAAATACGGCATACCTATAGATAGTACCTTACTAAACTATTCCTATTATATGTTATCTCTAAGCCCCATCCAAGTGGGATCTGATTCCATGAGATGAAACCCGACAGCTCTCGACCAAGTTAGTAGTCCCCAGTCTGAACGTAGATAATTTGAACACAGACGGAAATTGAAAGCTGCTCGATAAGTAACTGGGAAACAAAATCCCCCCGGGGTCAAGAAAACCAAATTTCAACCAAAGCCCAAGAGCGAAAAGCAGGAGAGGATGCACAAGCAGCGTTCGCCCTTCAACAGCGGCCCGGGAGGATTCGGAGCCAGTGCCTTCAACTTCAATGCCCCGCAGTTCGGGGATGGCGGTGGCTTTGGACCCGGATCACCAGTGCCCGAGGGCCTCAACGGGATGCCGTTTCTGGGCAAGTCGCCCACCAAGCCGCTGATGCGTTCCATTAGCCGACAGCGTTCGCTGGTCGAGGGAGCTGGCCTGGATTCCATGCCGCCGCCGCTGCCCGCAATGGCCCAGCGTATCCTGAGCGGCGGAGTGAAGCGGGGAACACCGCGACTGGGAGTGCCTCCCATCTCCAGCTACTACGGTGCCTTCGAAGGCGATCTCTCGATGTCCTCCATGTCCATGCTGGAGGAGACTTCGCCGCCACCGGACTTTCAGAATCAGACCCAGAGTCTGGGGAATGGGCCACCGCGTCCGGCCATCACGGATACGGATTCCGAGAGCGATCTGTGCAGCCAGAAGGCGGCTAAGTCGTCCGTGCCCCTGGATTCCCGCTGGCGCCGTGCCTTCGGCTGCCTGGTGGACACTCTGCCGGAGCAGCGGCGCCAGCGCCTGGAGAAGACCCTCCACCGCTGTGGACAGACGGCCATTGCCAAGCACCTGCTGGTGCTGCTGCAACTGCTGACCCTGGTGGTGGGTGTGGGTTTCCGCCAGGTCAAGCGCATCGGTTGGTTCTTCGGAGGTGTTCGCTTCCGTGTAGGACGCGCCAAATTCCAGCTACGCAGCTCCCTGCGCCAGATGCTGTGGCGCCTGGCCAATGCCAAGGGCAACGACACCTTGCTCTTCCTCATCGTGGTCTTGGTGACGCCCTGGCTGTTTCTTCTCAGCCTGGTAGGCTTCGCCATATCGTTCGTCTTCTCCATGAGGACGGGCGTGGTGGAGGGTGTGCGTCAGCTACGCCGACGTGTATTTTAGGAGGGAGTTCTCTCCCTCCATCTCAACCATCACACTTTACAGAAAAACACTAGAGCAGCGCATTCCACAAAATAATACAAGACACACCAACAGAAACCACCTGAACATCCACTATATTTTGTGTTGCAGCAACGAAATAGAGCTAAAAAATGTACAAGTGTTTTTTTTAAGGATCTACATGGGTTAAAATCAAAAATATCTATTACCGATATTATAAAATAGTTGGAATAAGAGTAACAACTGAAATCAGTACCACTTTAACACAAATATCCAAAGAAATTATCATCGAAGACATTTCAAGATACTATCTGCAATATATTATTCCATCATTCCCGTTTCGAAACATTGTAAAAATATAATTATTCTGATAATCGCATATATATCTTCTGTATAATATGATGGCATCATTGCCAATTTCGAAACAAAAAATTTTAATATGTTACCAAATACTGCAATCTGTTTAAGGCCTTAAGTACCTGCCTTTCTGTTTATTCGAGATCTGATCGATAATTCGCCAAAACATATTGATTTGTTTACTATTTAATCCCCTCGGTGGCTACTGGCTCATCACTCATTAACTCAATTTATTGTATATTATTGTTGCAATTTATTTTGCAAGATAAATATGGATATACACAAATCATTTCCGCTGCTCATGGAGCAAAACCAAAACCAGAGATTGTGGGCCTTTGTTGGTCATGCTCGTTGTAATTTCACTTTCAATTGCATTCCGCCAGCAAAGAGCCCCATTTTCACAGCACTATAGTATATTTTCTGATTCACTAAGTGGCTACTGCCACATTTGATTTCCACAGCATATAAAAGACTATTCCCAAGGGAAACGCCTCCAGTTTCGATTCAGTGCCCCAGGGGCTACATAAAATATCATCAGGGGCTACCTCTGGGACTTTAAAACTTATCAAATTTCAATAAAACTTGCTGGTAATGGATATTGAGAACTTGAAACAAAAAATATGTCAAGTCTACGTGTGAACTGGGCCAATATTGTCAGAACACGGCTTCAATTACCAATGACCCATCAAGAATGGATTGCATAAACGTGGGTCGGTATCAGTAAAACTACCCAGGCCGAACCATTTACAATTGATGCCCAGTAGTTTTTTCAGGAAATGAAGATCCACTTTTAATATTAAACACACATTCGAGTACTATATATTACGATGGCAGACAAAAGAGAGCTGTTTCTTTCAGCAGTCGCTTATTAAAAACTGACATGAAGCATGGGCTGTTCAGTTGGAAAATACCTACAATTAGAGCGACGATTGTCGTGATCTACAATCTCTATATATATAGGAAAGATAATTGCTGGTTATTTTTCTATCCAGCGTAAAATCTGATTCATGGCAGGTGCCCCCTAACTCATCACTTCTCCGCTTTTAATTCAGAACAGAAGGTGGCCATTGTCAAGGCTGCCATTAGCCCAAGAATCGCGTGATGAGCTGCAAAATGTAATCAAGTGGCGCCTGGAAAAACACGGGAAAAATTTGAACAAAACAGAAAAACTAAGCAACTTTAAAACAATTACCGAAGAAATTTGAGAAATGTGGATCGTTAGCTTGGGTTGTTAATTTTCGGCCATTTTTGACAAGAAAAAGGTGATAGCCCCTTAAAAAATGCAGAAAATCGTCAAAATTTAAAGTCTCTTTTTTCTATCCAAAAATGATGTGGATCGCGTTAGCTTGGGTTGTTAGCTGATCAAAACAGTCGTTCTCTTAGCTAAGACCCTCAATTTAGCCAAACTACGACCAAAAAATTAACCGAAAAAATCTTGATTTTGAAATACATTTTTAATCCTAATTTGGCACCATTTAAGATCAGTATTTTGACCAAAACAAAGCAACAAATGGTCCAATTGTGGAGTGTCATACCTCGTTGAGCTTATAATAAAATTTCCAATCGATTGACATTAAAAGCTGAAAACTTTTTTTTTTGACATTTTTGACAAAAAAATGTGATGTAACCCCTTTTAAAAAATGCAAAAAATCGTCAAAACTTAAAGTCTCTTATCTCTACCCGAAAATGATGTGGATCGTTAGCTTGGGTTGTTAGCTGATCAAAACAGTATTTCTCTTTGCTAAGACCCTCAATTTAGCCAAACTACGACAAAAAATTACTCGAAAAAATCATGTTTTCCCCATACATTTTGAATCCTAATTTTGCACCATTTAAAATCAGTATTTTGACCAAAACAAAGCAACAAATGGTCCAATTGTGGAGTGCCATACCTCGTTGAGCTTGTAATAAAATTTCCAATCGATTGACATTAAAACCTGAAAACTTTAATTTTTGGCCATTTTTGACAAAAATAGGTGATAGCCCCTTAAAAAATGCAAAAAATCGTCAAAATTTAAAGTCTCTTACCTCTACTCGAAAATGATGTGGATCGATAGCTTGAGTTGTTAGCTGATCAAATAGTATTTCTCTTAGCTGAGACCCTCAATTTAGCCAAACTACGACAAAAAAATTAACCGAAAAAATCGTTATTTTGCCATACATTTTGAATCCTAATTTTGCACCTTTTAAGATCAGTATTTTGACCAAAACAAAGCAACAAATGGTCCAATTGTGGAGTGTCATACCTCGTTGAGCTTGTAATAAAATTTCCAATCGATTGACATTAAAAGCTGAAAACTTTTTTTTTTGACATTTTTGACAAAAAAAATGTGATGTGATGTATTAAAAAATGCAAAAAATCGTCAAAATTTAAAGTCTCTTATCTCTACTCGAAAATGATGTGGATCGTTAGCTTGCGTTGCTAGCTGATCAAAACAGTATTTCTCTTTGCTGAGACCCTCAATTTAGCCAAACTACGACAAAAAAATTATCCGAAAAAATCATGTTTTCCCATACATTTTGAATTTAAATAAGTAAGGATTTATCATTTAAGCGATAATTATTATCTTTCCGATATCACTTCAAAACTACACTGAAAAAGTATAAAGCAGGCAGAGATAACCACTGGCAACCCCTCGACTTTGCTCATAAGATTACAAAAGATAAGACCGGTGCGATAAGGACAGCTCAGACCCTTCTCCTCTATCTCTATCCCAACAGCGATTCGGTTCAATGATATTTGTACATTTTAAAGTGACTAATTCAGTCTCCCTATAAACAAGCAAAACCACAGCGGCAAATGCGTAATCCGGTCATGGACATAGACTAATAGAATAATACGAAATCATCATGCTAATAAATAAAAACTGAATTGGGTAGCAAATACGTGTGAACTAAACCGATTTTATTCGAATTTTATTCGGAAAATTAGAAAAATAGAGAGAAGCGAATACATTTAATATTATTGAATACAGCTATATTAAGTTATTCGAGTGATTTTTTGTTGGTATAAATGTAGAGTGGACTATCATGGTGACAATCTAGTTATAAAAACAAAATGAAACTCTGTCATGAGTAACATAAAAAAAACATGAAACCTATAAACTAGGGACCCCATTAGAGAATTACATATGCTAGCCCATCACCATTAATTTTCATTTTGCCACTTAAGGAGCATATAAACTTGCATTCTCCCTTCCGCATAAATCATATTAAAGTGCGAAAAGCTCTCTTATTATGTGAATTTCTGCGAGAAACGAGTTTACATTCGCAATTTACTTATTTGTTTACATTGCTGATTGCTGTTTTAATGAGCTAAATGAAAATGTCGTGGATGAGTCACTTTAAGTTAAACAACGCTAGACTATAGTCTATAAACTATGTGGATCTGTTAGCTGTATAATAGGCGAGTGTGCGAGATTTTTTCAATGGAAAACGTGTCCGGCACAGTAAGTTTTATCGAGTATTGATTCCATTCACCATTCATAAATTTAGTGTGAGCAGCATCTGGTTTGGCTGAGTCACTTGGGGTTCATTCACAAAAGTTCGGCCAGGGTTCGGTTGCCGGTCAGAACTTCTGAAATCGTAGGATTGTATTTCCGCCCTTTCCCAACAGATGGGTAATTGTGGCGCACCTTATGTTTGCTTGCACTAGTTAATAAACTACATAAGTGTCCCTTATCTTTGGAAAGCTTTGCACAAACATCAACAACCCAGAGATACCGATTGCAGATTTTGATGATTTTGATGACCATAAACTGTTAGCACCTGTATTAGAAACTTGGCAAATAAGTTGAAATCCATTTCCGCTGACCGTCTGTCTACGTGTCTCTGTGCCTTTTAAGTGCTTGAAACATATAGGTACACCTCTTTATGACTAATCACATGAGTTTTGATGAAGGAAAATGAAGGAATTTACATTCAAGTGGATCGTGCAAAAGCAAAAGCTGTGGAATTCAATTTTAGACTGAAGAAAAAGCTTTGTTAAACGAAAGTCAAAGAGAATCATCTCTTTTCCATCTTTCTAGAGATGGGGAACCTTCATTTGGAATGCCATTTTATAAAGTAGTTTTGACTTAAAAGCATTGTCTACTCTTAAAGCAACTTAGGATTGTGATTCGGACCCATTAATAAGTATTCCCCATCTTTTCTCACAATTGTAAAGTACATTTGGAAAACATCTGTATTTGGCGTATATTTTCCTACAATCTTTTGTGGGAGAGGAAGGCGAACCAGATACCCCATACTGCGCAATTGATAAATACTAAACAAAGATTGTCGCTTCCCGCTCCATAAACAGAATTATTCTTTATACATATGTAAGAAAGAGGGGCCTTAACTTGAGCTGTACTTTGGATAGCGAAATCAAAGTCGAAATTACTGAAACATCTCCAATAACCGCAACGCATATGTTTTCCATCCAGTTGGCAATTTAACGCCTTGTCGTGCCGATAAAACACATTTGTAATAAACAATTGAAAAAATAATAAACGTTTTGAATGGCAAGAAATTTGTTTGGTATGAAAGCCAAATGTTCTGGCATTGAAACGTGATTCGAGACTGTTATTGAAGAAATAGCGCTGTATTTGTTCTAGGGCCCTTAAGTTCTCAAGACGTTATAGACATGGGTACAATGAATGTTAGGTCGATTAAAACGTTCACTGAACAGCTTAATGAAAATAGTATAATACATACGTTGAGAATTATTAAAGCAATTATTTCAAGATGGCTGTTAACTTTTACTATGACAAATATGACAAATAAGTACATAAGCGAATAAATTTGTAGTCACGTCAGCCGCAGAGACAGTAATTTCAGCTGTTTAGCCGTTTTCGTATTCATTTCACAGGTAAGTCCGCATTCAGCACCTCCCTCTGCATTGGCCAATTAGCAGGTGAAGCTCTGATTTCTAACCCGAATTCGGATAAAGCCAAAAGCTTCCTAGAAAACATTAAACAACACACTGGCATTTCAACTGGAAATCAAGAGAACATTTGTATATTGTTCTAAAAAGGCCCCCACACCTTGCAATGCAGACAGACAGCCAAGAATTTTGCATAATCATCATCAAGAACTGAAACTGACTTGCAACAATACGGAGAAAGCAAAAAAATGTTGGATAATGCAACCGAAGAGAAATGAAAAAAGAATATAGAGAGCAGAAAACTGTTGTAATCATAATGGAAAAAATAAAAAACCAGCTAGGTTTTCTTGTCTGTCATAAGACCAGGAATCACACAAGGTTTGAATCCCAGCCACTCCCTGGCACTCCACCCTTCATTATCAATAAGGCTGAGTAATTATGGCGGCACAAAGTCAGGCTCTATAAAGGAATCTGAACAGACATTTACACATGCATGGTATGGGAATGGGATGGTATGATATGGGGGTGAGAAGAGCGCACCTCTTAGTGCCGTTTCAGCATTTCATTTTGCAATGGCTCGTGGGGATTTTTTGCTGTGCAATGCACTTTCAAGCTCAAGTCCTAAACAGGCGTCATCGTTCATCAAATCACGTATGATAATAATGATCAAGTTCCATTGTCAGTGTCAGAGTTATAAAGCTTGAAATCGCTTGGATAAGGAAAATGTGTGAAAAGTAAAAATGCTTTATATGGACAAAAACACGTAACTGCAATAATGGTTCGTAAATGTGGACCTTTAATTTAAAATATGAAAATAAAAAAAATAATAGTATTTGTTTTGGCTTCAAAAGTAGTACTGTTATTAATCGAATCCATTTAAGAATAACTCGATGATTTATATTTATATACATATATTTTACCATATAAAAAAAACCTAAACGAAGTGTTTCCCGAAATGTTCTTCTTGGGATTCCCCTTATTCAAAATGAAGGAAATTGGACGACAGCCAGGAATTGACAAGGCAAACAGTGCGCATAAGCAATAAACAACATTAGTGTCCAAATGATCGGTGGTACAGTATTCAATAACCATTGCAAATTTTCTACAATATGTATGCACACATTTATGTGTATAAAATGTACTGATATATTGTAAAATTATTAAAAAAGATGTTTACATTTTGTTGAGTTACGTATTACATTTGTTAATATAGTGCATTCCAAAGATTTGACAACCTACTATAGATAAATTTCTTATCTAAATTATGAAAAACAAAACGATTTTTCAATTTAAGCCTTTCTTTCTGACAATACTTTTCTAAAAATTAATTACGGAAGCATACTTTTTTGTTAAGCCCAATGCAAAAGTGATGAGACTTAAAATGTTTTAAGTTAGGTAGTTGATTTTATGCATGTAGGACTGTATCTATTCAATATATGTATGTATCATCAGGGAACATCGGCAGCTGTGTGCGTTAGTTGGGTTTTTTGGTGTGCGTATATGCTGGCTGTGTTTTCATTTGATCTGTCTATGTATGCATGATGTTATTGTTGCCCTGACAGCTGGAAGCTTCCGCAGCAATCTGGAAACTGGAAGTGTCTAAAAGATGCGGGTGTTCCAGGGAGAGGAGAATGTAGGCGGTCGATGAAAGAGAATTCGCCAATTTGCTGCGATTGCTCTTCACGACAGATAAAAAGATACGAAGGCGAAGAAGCAGAGTGAGCGAAACCAAAAGCCAAAGAAAGGCCATTAAATTGTGCGAAAGAGAAACCAGAACAGGTTTAGGTTTAACTGTTCTTGGTGTGCGCTCAATAAAAGCGCTAATTGACACGCACACAAGTGCATAAAGTCCATAAACAAGCCGTGGGAGAGAGGGAGAAAGGAGAGAGAGAGAAGCGGACTAAGCTAACTGGAACTTTCGTAAAGTCCAGTTGGAATTGGCACATTTAACTTTTAACACAAGACTTATTTTTAACACAATAACAATGACTAAACGGCCACGATTGGTGTTAACAATTAAAAAACCCACCTTGGTAAGAAGTACGGAGCAAACTGGTTTACGTTCTCACTCAAAACAAACGAAGAATGCACTCAAAATCGAATTCCACTCAATGTACACGTTTACGAAATGGGATTTCATGGGATTTATATTTTTAAATGCTTACAACACAGCGCATATACGGCAATAGATATATCTGCGTATTGTTTGGGCTTTCTCACCAAACAGACAGAAAACTCGTTTTCGTTTCGCGACTCTCTTTATTTTGGCACACTCTTTGCAGCTATGCGGATTTACCAATTAATGTGTATTTCGAATTTATAACAATTATTTTCGGTGCACTCAACCCGACGACAACAATAACAACAACAAGGGGACGCACAACGCAGTTCTTTAATGCACTTCAATTATTTTCATCACTCAATTGGAGCTCATTTCGTTTTTGCAAGTACCGCGTATTATGTTTACTTTATTTTTCATTTGCTTACGCACACAACCGCACGCCGCGGAGCAGGAATTTATTTAATTTATTTAAAACCGAGCGAAGCAAAACGCTGCAACAGTTTTCGTGCACTTGCCCAGTGTAACCGTAAATCCATAGTGTGACCTTAAGCGCAGTGTTAGAATAATACTTGTGTGAACAGTCACTGTTTTAAAGTAGTAACGGTGAAGAAACATCGACGTCATCGATGTTTTCCAAGCATCGGTAATCGGTAACATCGATATCTTCCATCTCTATCCTGAGAATTTAATTTTTGAAATTAACTGATCTTTTTAGATTTCCGTTCAAATCTTATTTTATTAATGGTTCAAAATACTAATATGCCATGTGGTCCTGATAAAGGATCTAAACTAAAAATGTATTTATACGAATTAAAAAATACGACAGATGTACATTTTTATTCCACACTAAATTAAAAATATGAAACCATTTAAAAAATTTCTTACTGAGAAGATAGCCTGACCCAAAAAGTATCTAGCAGTGGGAGTAATTCTAAAACTCTAAGTAATTTTTTAGATTTCCACCGTCATGGACACAATCAAACTGTGGCACAGTGGGCAAGTGCGATGCCGTGAGATCTCTGTGGGAGCAGCACAGTGGTGGCAGGTGGTGCAGATCCATATGTTGTTCGTGGGCTGGGTGATGGGTTTTCCGGAGGAAATGCATGCGGGAAATCGGGCATTACACTCCGGGCAAGCAGGTGAGCTAAAAATAAATCCATTAATATTAGGGGTTTTTCATATCATGGTACTATACCAACCTATCAGGCACTGGCACTCCGCAGGAATAGCAGTCCACCTTCTCGCCAGCGGTGTCCTCCGGATCATACTTGGCGAAGATTCCTGCTGCCAGTTCCTCGTACTTTGAAAGGGTAGCCTCCGGCAGGTGACTCAGTTGCTCCAGCTGCATAAAGGCCTTGGAGCAGGTACCGAAAGCCCGATCCGCACAGCTGGCCAGGGCCAACAGGCTGTAGATGTGCTCCGGAGGCAGTACGTCCTCGTAGTCCCTCAGCCTCACCGCTGTGACCACCGCACTGTGGATGATCCCGAAGCGAAGTTGCCTCTGTGCCAGGAGCATAAAGTGGTAGGCCTCGGCGCAGTGCCAAAGCCTTTCGATGGCGGCCGCATCCTCCAGGGCAATAGAGTCCAGCAGGGTGTTTCTGCCGCTAGCGTAGTCAATCTCCGGCGTGGCAACCGCCTTCAGGTGCTCCTCCGCCAAGAGAGCAGCCAGCACGTAGAGCTTCTTGATCCTCAGCAGGGGAGCCCGCCTCTCCTGCTCCCGCTCCGCCATTTGGGAAAGCAGACGAGCTGCATCCAGGTGGCGTCCGGCATTCCGCTGCATCTCGATGGCCTCCTTGAGCCGTCCCTCCTGGAGCAACTGGGCCGCATGCTTGGCTATCAGCGTTTGCACTTGGGGCAGCTGGAATCTCTGGGCCAGCTCCACCGCCTCGCCCCACTGGCGGAGATTCACGCAGGTGGAGACGGCCGCCTTCTGGTCACCGAAGCGCAGATGGGCTTGAACTGCCTCCGAACACATGCCCACGGAGGCCAGCATCTCAGCCAGCTTCGGGAGCAGGGGGCTCTTCTCCGGCAGCCTTTCGACGCACTTTTCCAAATCGTCGAACTGCTCCAGGTGGTACAGAGCCTCCATGTAGCCCTCCAGATAGTGCGACTTCTCGTAGTACTCCCTGGCACTCTCCCAGGAGCGCAGATTCGCAAAGTGGTGGCCAATCTCCCGCCAGGCAACCTCCATTTGCTGGTCGGACACACCCGATCCTCCCATTCTGTACAGCTGCACCACGCGGAACCAATCGCAGAGGGTCATGCGCAGCTCTATGGCCAGATCCCGACGATCTGCATCCAGGTAGAGCTTCTCCGCCTCCTCAAACTCCCCGTAGAACGCAGAGATCTCCGCCCTCTGGAGCTCATTTGAATGGATGGTTCTCAGTCTCTTGACCAACTTGATCCCTGGATAGTGGGCACACCGCACAAAGGCGTTCTCCGCCGTCTCCAGTTCCAGTTTCTTCAGAGCAGACTCGGCTAGCAATCTCCAGAGCCTCGGGTGCGGATTGTCCTCGATAAACTGCTTGGCATCCTCCAGACCCACGTGCTCCAGAAGATCGTCGGTATCCCGCAGGGACTTCACCCTCAGCTGGATAATATGCGATGAGTTCTGCAGTTCACCCACGCTGATAATGTCATCCAGGAGCACACTGGTGATCTCCAGGTCCTCGAAGGTGCAGATGTAGCCGGAGCAGGAGACGGGCTCCTCGGGATCGTTGCCGCGGAAAATGTACATGCGTGTCTTCTCCATCAGAGCCAAGAGCAGGGGGTTATCCTTGGCCCAACTCACAGCCCAAACATCCTTCCTCTCCACTCGACTGAAGTTGAGTTGGGTTTCCCTATTGTCATCCAGGTCGAGGAGGGTCATCACTCCCATATGATCGATGATGGCAGCACGACTAAGGGTTTAGTTTATACAGTAAACATTTCAAAGGACAAAGAAACTACCCACGTGGAATTGCAGTTGATGGCCATCTTGTAGACCTTTGAGTTCATCAGGTGGCGATTCCTTAGAGCCACATTGGCTATGCTGTACTCGTTGATGGCACCCGATTCCCTGGCCACCAGCAGCAGCTTCTCGGAGAGGGCCAGTGCACAGATGGGATCACTAATCCCACGCTGTGTGGAGTGACCATCACTACTGCTCAGCATCAAATCCTTGGCCATCTCCACTCCAGTGGGAGTGTCATCGATGTGGAAACGCTTCTCCTTGCGGGCCTTCACATTGTGCAGTGTGGAGGCGCTCTGAAGGAAAATGATAGTTAAGAGACCGGGGTAGAGAACCTGAAGAACTCACCTTGGGGGTATGGTAATGCCAGATGAGGATCTCCTCCTGGGAGGCTATGGCCACATAGCTCGAGTTGATGCCCACAAAGCAGGGACGGATATCAGTGTACTTGGCTGAAATAAATGGGATTAGTTTAGAAAGATCTTAGAGTAACCTCATTTAATACCCACAATCCACAGTGGTTCCAATGGAGTTGCAAAGCAACAACTGGTAAACCCTGTCATCCGCAGGATTACTCCGATTCTCCAGGGTACTCAGAGCAACCTCCTTGATATTACTACTAACACACTCCACTCCCAGGACGCAGTGCTCACTACTGGAGGCCAGGCACAAAGTGGGCTCCACCTCCTTGAGGAAACTCTGATTCGAGACGGTGTTCCAGAAGGTGATCACACTCATGGGCGAGTCTCTGGAACCAGAGCCAGTGTTCAGAAAGACCACAGTCTTCTCGAAGTAACACCAGATGTAGTCGGGTCGGATGTTGGCGAAGTAGATGAACGAATCCACGGCCATGGCGATGCGAAGGGATTTACCCTCCCAACTGAGCGAGGTGATGTCGGTGCCCGGCACTTTGAGGGTCCTGTAGATCCTGCCCAGCGGCGAGTAGAAGCACACCTGGTTGGAGTCACGCTGCGAAGGAGGGGTTACCGTATCCAAAGTGGTTCCGCAGATGGCCAAAACCGTGCCATCATGGTTCCACTTGGCGTCCACGTTGCGCATCCCAGTGTCAAAGATTGTGGGAGCTGTAATAGAATTGGATTGGGTTAGATTTTAATATTTGGAGCTCGTATCATAGCCCACCATCATCATTTTCATTCCTCATGATCTGCACCCTTCCGTTCTCATAGCAAATGGCCAGAACAGGACGTTTCCGACTCTGGGGCACCCTGCCACTGAACCAGCAGATGCTGGCTATGCGATGCCCCCTGGAGGAGGAGCCCCCAGAAATGCTCACGCACTGGATGTGTAGCTTCATCTGGATTATAAGAAACAAATTAAGATGGATAAAGAAGTAATCTCATATCTACTTACAGCAAAGTTCCCTTGGTTATCGTACAGATGACACTCCCCGTTGGCCAAGGCGAACAGGATGAGTCGGTTATCCGGACTCCACTGCACACCAGTCAAGTGAGTTCCCTTGAGCTCCTTGCCAAAGATGCGATTGCCATCCACGGAACCCACTATAATTGCGCCATCCTCGTAGACAATGCAGATTCTAGAGCCGTCCGAGGTCCAACTCATGCTGGCCACCGTGGACTTTTTCCTGTCGTTGGTCATTTCCTCGTACCAGGATCCCTTGTACAGCATCCACACCATGATCACCCCGTCCGTGTCCGAGGAGGTCAGCTTCTGCTGGGCATCGTTCCAAGTGACCACCCTCACCGACTCCTTGTGCCCATCCAGCGTTTGGTTCATGGACAGATTGGAGACGGCGGCCAGGCCACCTTTATTTTGGCCATTGGGAGAAGCTAAAGATTAAAGATTAGTACATCAAGTATGCTTAACTTCAGTAGTGGCATAGTCATGTTGATAAGGTAATAGATATAGGTTATTTAATTGGGACGCGAGGGTCTACACTTGTATTAATCATTTTTCGGAACTGTATATCTTGATCTTGACATTAATTAAAGATTTCGTATACACACTAGTTGGAGAGATTAAGAGCGGTTGATAAACTCAAATGGTAGATTGCAATGTACTCAAAACAAGTAGCTAGATACTACCTATTAGATATGATTGGTACCTTCTTCGAGCCCAGATCTTGTAGACTTACCCTGATCCAACTTCAGGACCTTGAGCAGTCCATCCGTGCCGGCCACTGCAATATAGCCCTCCTCTTTGTTCCAGGCAATGCAATTGAGCTTGACATTGTTGGGTATGGCAATCTGGGGATCAAGACCTTTTAAATTATTTTTTATCCAAATAAAACTAAGGCAATGCCTACCTTTTTGCTGAGATAAACAAACATCTTTGGATTAAAATTGCACCTGTCTTTCTATCAACTATTTTTCACCATTTGCTGTGGCAACCAAACGAAATGGTTTCCATGGCGACTTTAACTACAGTTTGGATCTGCTTATATTGTAGCCACGCACTGCTCAACTGGCTAAAATACAAGCCTGTTTTGTGGCCATAAAGTGGTTTAATTGGTATTTGTGGTAAATGGTGGAGAAGAACCTGTTGCCACATTTTGCTATCGAAGCACCTGTATGTTATCGAAGGCGGATCTTTCAAATACCGATGCATAAAATAGAATATCTATAGATATTTATATTTATAAATTGAAGATCTTAAAACAAACATCTATTTTGGAATTTATAGAACTTGCTCACTTATTTTTATGGATAACTAATTATAAGGTCAGAGTATGCAATCACTTAAAAGTTATATATTGCGTTTACTGTCAACTGATAACTGATAGTACATTTCTCAGGCCACCTTTCAAAAAGGAGTCCAAACCAATAAATAACTGTCCAATATGACACCTAATCGTTTAACGAAAGTCACAAATTGTGCGGATAGTTAAACAAGCTTATCAAACCAATAAGTTGGTTGGCAAGTCCATAAAGATAGACAAAAGCCATGCCATAAAAAATACTCCAATTAAAATTCCACATTGTATCACTATTACAAATGGCATACTTGTTACAAATATTACTAGTAATATATTTACACTAAATTCATTTAAATCACAGAAACACAAAGTGCATATTAGGCTAATCGAATTCCCCTCTTTAGCAATTCGTGGGCCATTTTAGTGCCCAGGAACATGTAGACTAGCAGGATAATCACCGACTCAAAGTTGGAGCGATCTTCTGGCCTGAGGAACATGTTCACCCCACCGGTTAATACATTGGCCACCAGAAAGAAAGTCAATCCGTTTTGGTTCAGGGCCTGATTGATGGTAAATGGAACAATGGACCTATCCCTTCCCTTGGCCGGAGAATCTCCTGTCAGCAAACCCTTCTCCTGATCCTCTGAGGGATTCGCTTCCCACGGCATCACACTGTTGATCACAAAGTCTATGGCTCCAAAGCTGGCCCACAAAGTGGTGCACCCGATGGCCAGCATCCATACGACATAGCCAAGATTGCAGATCACTCTGGAGATTCCAATTCCGTAGGCACAGATGACGAACAAGCTCCAGAGGATCAGCACCACGTAGAAGAGACGCCGCAGCTTCCTGACCAACTCGGAGTAGCTGAGCAGACTGGAGGCCACCATCCAGCGATTCACATATATGGACAGCAAGTACAAAGACACAAATCCTGGCAAGGAGACCAGACCCTCGCGATTCGCATTGAATAGGTTGGAGCGCTCCACATCCTCGTTCATCACATAGTCGGACATGCCCAGGAAACTCAGGCCAAACTGGTGGATCAGCAAGAGACCTGGAAGATCATTTAATAAGTTACCAAGTTCAAGGAAACAAGGTCTTATCTACTACCAAGCCCCAGAGGCAGCAAATGCAGATCCCTGCGAGCCAGAAGGCTGACCAGAGCTCCCAGGAACTTGGTAAATCCCAAAGTAAAGAAGGCATTCAGATGCTGCCCGTACTCGTGAGCATCCTGTCCATAGCCCAGTGTCAAAATGGCCACAGTGCGAGCCAGTCCCAAGAGGATCAGAGGCATGGCTGAGTATATCACACTCCTCCGGAAATCAGACAAGTGTCTGGACCTCCGGGACACCATGGCCATGGTGAATACGAACAGACCAATGCCAGTGTCCATTAGCTTGGCTCCGTACTGCCTGCTCTTCCGATAGGGTCTATAGAAGCTGCCAAAGTCGATGGCCAGAATGCAGATGGCGGTGATCAGGTGGGTGAGGGCACGCAGAACGGACAGAGCCATGGGTCGATTGCCACCCAAGTCGAACTGGCTGCGAGTTCGAGCCAGGTGCAAGGCCCTACTCCTCCGCAGGAACCACAAGGTGACCACGAAGATCACCACTCCAATGTAGCTGCTATAATCCACGGCTACTGTAACGAGCAGAATGCAGGGCAGGATGACCAGGACAAACTCCACCGCATAGCAGAGATTGGGGGAGCCATGGAGACGCAGCCTGTGGGTCACCACTCTGGCCAGGAGGATACACCAGAAGGTGGTCAGGATCAGCAGCAGAGACTCCCAGCTCTGGACCAGAGTGCCACTCCAGTCCCAGTCGTATTCCTGGCCCAATCCCAGGCGCTCCTCGAGGGTAAGGTTGGCCGGGTTCAGATCGGGAATGGGTTCCTCTGTCGCTCGACTGCCCATGGCGACTGGCTAGGCGCTATGGGATACCCCTTGGACTCCCTAACTCGCCAGCGGGCTGATAAAACCTGCACTTAATCTGCCTGCTGATAGTCGCCACTTATCGGTAACCGAGTGATAGGCATAGTCATAGCCGTTCGATTCGGGTCTCAATAAAAAACACAAAACTCGAAATACGAATTACGGAATTCGTTAAACTTCAAACATTTGAATGTCGCACTGATAGCAACTGAGTCGCGGCATTCCTTTTGGAATTTGAAGAGCGGTGATAAGAAATGGGTGTCAATAATATTTCATACTGAACTGGATTCCTTTAAGTTCAAGGATAACTATTTTTTGACAGAGTTTCAACAACTGTACTCAGCTTTTCTCTGTCTGTAGCTACGCACAATTCTTATCTATGCTTTGTTTACCTAATTTAACGCTTTTCACACCTGACAGTAATTAGCTACTGATAAATATAAACCGAACTTTGCTTTTACGGGCCGTTAAACCATTAAGGAATGGACTGAACAATACTGGCGCAACAAATGACAGGCGCAGAACGATCACTTGAGTAAAATATCTCCAGTGTGTCATTGCATTTTGTAACTTCTTTGCCAACAGAAAATATTATGCAAATGTATGATATTTTTGAAACAGCACGTTCGTCACCCATTATTTACTTTAAAGGTAGTTTAAGACTTTTGCTACACAGTAAAGGTTCGATTTCCAACCTTAAGAGGGTCTTGAACAGAACAAACAAGTCTTCAAGTTTAAAAAATTGTTAAACAAAACGGAGATGGTATACGGATACATAAATAATTTGGATACGAAACGTTTAAAACTGTTTTGTTTTTTAACAAATTTGGATTACGTTGTTTTTATTTATTGTATATATATTTATATATCATAAAGTTATATAAGTAATGTACCTTTAGGTATGTTTTAATTATTAAAGAGTTACATAGCTATTTCTATTTACTTACTATTTTTATTTAAATTTCGCGGTCTTGGTAATCGATTGACCGAATTCGATAGCTCGCAACGGACTGCCATTAAATTCCGCCCATCTGGCAGCCCCGAAGCAGTCGGTATATTTTAGTGCTTTTGTTAATTTGGAGAAAAAGAGGCTCGTCTGCGGTTGCAAAGTATAAAACCGCAAAAAGGCCATAAAATGTTATTTATCCTGCAAATAAAGTGTGCCGACTTAATGTCGGACATCTAGGTTTATTGCTATTGACCAGCTCAACTTAAAATTAAGTTAGGGCAGTGCAAATGTGGGTGAGTTTTGCCTTGTGCCGGCACGTGTTTGTCTTTTTTCTTGTGTTTTTATTACTTAATAAGCTGTTAATTAAAGCTTTTAAAGAAAGTGTTAATTGGGAGACGTGCTAATTAGTTAATTAGAGCCTATGTTTAGTGATTGAGGTTAAATTATGGGATGTACAAGTGCCCATTACGTAGCTTTGTTGTGCTTTCTCTATTTGTGACGTCATGGGGCGTTGGACCAATCAGAACGCAGCTTTCAAGGGGCTTGTCCCACTGGTGACGTAGGCAGCAGCCGACGTCTGTTGTAATATTGATTATTTTGTTGTTCGTGCTGAAAAACCACGTGAGTGGGCCAAGTTTCCACCCACTTTACCTTCCCCCTTCGATCATTACACGATATGTATGCTTTTGTTGTTCAGCTCGATAAATATACCCATTCGAACGCAAACGTTCAACGCAGTGAGATCGCCAATACGGAAGCAAAAAGTGCAGTTTATTTTCTAAATATTTTTGCAATTTAAGTTTACGTAACTAATTGCAGGCAAGTGCTAAAGAAATTATAAATATAGGTGTGTCTGGGTGTACACTAAACAAAACTAAGATCACGAAATGAAAATTATACTCATACATACATATTATAAATTTAATTCTAAAAACAATGCAACAAATAATGATAAAAACATTAACGATAACCCCAAAACAGTTACGAACAATTTATCTGAATGCCATGTGAATCAATAAAATTACTATTATTATATACTGCAAAACCCTCAATGTTAGTTTTATTAATTTATTGTATAATGATGTTATTAATATTAGCTATATAAATAAATATAGAGTAAATATTTTTTCAGCCTGTAAAAGCTTTAAAGTTTGTCTATCAACAACACTCTCTTGAAAACGTGTGCACATTATTCTAGATGCAACTACATGATTAAACAATTTGATGGCGCCTGAAAAGCTTGCTAATCGACTGACCTTTGACCTGACGTGACTGAGTATTTCATTACATGTTTAATAACCTCCATCTCTCCCCCTTTTCCACTGCAATTACTGATCGACATATCAAAAACATCAGCACTCCCAGCAATAAAATGCAATCACAACAAAAACAGGCCTTATCAACAGCAACAAATATTTCTGCAATCATTTGGAGTGAGAAATTTAGTCATACGATACAATATGATTGTGATAAGCCAGCTATATATAGTCCACAGGTCGTATGAGTAATTTATTTATGCATGTAGGTGCGAAAAGTTTAGTGAACCTTTGTACCCCTGATGTAATCATTTATTGCGCTACTTGCACTCGAATTACACGATTTATAAAAGAAAACAAAAAAAGCATAAAGCGAAATGCAAATAAAGATCATTTCCAGTATATGTAACTCTGATATTGTGACTGAAATTGCAGGCCAATAATAATACGATAATTTACAATGACTTAATGGGTTCTACAAAGATATACACTCCCACTTTGTATATAAACAGGGGTATATGAGTAAACAAAAATCGCACAGCAAGGAAATACAATTCATTATCATGCTGGTCGATGGTCAAGTCGATTTGGAAATACCCTGTGCTTTAAAAATTGTTGAAAATCAAATAGAAAAAAATCATTATAAATAATATTGTGTCTTAAAAAAAGTGGTTTTGTGGTTAAAAATATATGCATATTCTTATGATTGATTTTTAAACTCGAATATTTACACGGACACTAAATAGCACCATATTCCTCGTATACCCAAACTGAACCATCAATTCCCTACTTGAGGCCATCAACTCGGACCAAATTGCTTTCGTTTGTGGGCCAACACACATGGCACATGTAGATTGTATATATTGTCACAGTGACATTTGGCTTTAATGAAGTCGATTTCATTAACTCTAGATCGGTGTTTATATAACAAACGAACGGTCGAACACACTCCCCCTTTTTGCTTAATGGATGCAAATATTTAAATACAATCATTTGCATTTCGCTTTATTTCGTTTTTTTGGCCTGCTCTTGAAGATGTCACATGAATTCCGTTTGCTTTATTTGTTTGCCCCTCAATGGAATATTTCTAATATTTGTTGTATCTTTAAATAGCCCGGTCTTTACGTATGAGCTGAATGCGTATGCGGATTGTCTTTGAAAAGCTGAAGAATTTATGTGTGTGGGATAAGTTCAGTGGAATAATTTCCGCCCCTGAAATAAGACAGTATTACGTGTGCATAATTGTAGGAAAATGTGTTGCGATTCTATGCAAATCGCAGCTATAAAGATGCCTCAACGATCCCTAATTGCATTCCATTAACTAATACCGTAAAGATTCCATGGGAGTCCCAACAATTTACAGTGGTTACAGAGATTATATCCCTTGATCATTACCTATTCACATGTCAGTTCTGTTAGGTACTTTTCGATTATTGTAGCATTATCATTTTCAAAATTTCTTGAGATTGGAAGCAGACAAATTTGTATTTTTCCACTATTGATAGGGCGAATTCTAAGCGATGCCTTTTTGTGTTCTCTGAAAATGTAAGATCTTTTCCGCTATTTTAAGATTTATGGTATGAAGCTTTCTTATACTTTCTTTCTCTGTGATTTATTTGACATTTGGATTGGGAAAATGTATACTTTTCTTGACAAGGTGGAAAAAAGCCATTAACCTCTACGTTAAGTGGTAACTATTGAACTTTAATTAACACTTGCAATATAATTGGAGTTTAACAATATTTATTTTAGTATAATTGGTTCTACTTACAATACAATAGACCCACTGTACCGGGTTATATCCGTCTGGGGAGAAATGCAAATGCGTGTTTTTAAATGCCAAGGCTGCCGGCGTCTGTCCCAACCAGTTGGCAGTTTATTGCACCGAGGAGCGCCTACGGCAGCACCACCCCCACCGGCCCACATGCCTCCACTACCACCCACCAATCGACCCCCTAATCCACATACACATCCACCCACCGACCCAGACATCGCCGCTCTTTGGCGGCTTGTCTTATCAGCTATCAGCTATGTTGTTGCTACTGCCGGTTTTATTGGGTCTGGTCGATGGGTAGTAGTAGTCGGTAGTCGATTTGCCCAGTCCGAATACACATCCAATACATGGTCGAATACTAAAAGCTTTTCATTGCGCTGCCGCGCCTTCGAATCGTTTGATTTTCGACTTTCAGATACATTTTGGCGCTCGCTGCGGTCGGTTGTGTTTTTATTCGTCGCGCTTTATTTCTCTCTTTCGATCAATTCCTTTCTCTTTAACTTTCCACTTACCGCCCGGCGCACTCTTTTAATTTTAAAAATATTTAAACAAGTGTGTTATCAGCAGCCCTGTAAACAACAATCGAATATCAAAAGTGAGGAGCCACAATGCAATGTCAAACAACTCATTAAATACATTAATCGTTATCGAAGTAATCGTTTATTATCGTAGATATCGTAAATTATCCTTTGTAATTGGAACAATCGTAAATTAATTCTTTGATAGTTCTTATTTGAATGTTCCGAGCAAGTGGGTGGGCAAATATTGCTCGATCAGCCCACTAAAAAAGTGCTTTCCATATCTAATCTACGATTCCTGGTAACATAACAGTTTATGGATCGTGTATCGATAGTCGCTTATCAGAGAACAGTGCTTAACGAAAGTACACAGCCATAACGGCTGGACTTTCAAAAATGTCCCCAAGTAAAATAACCTGAAAACCAGATGAATCCGCAAAGCCAGGAAACTGTGGAAAGTTTTCGAATGTAAATCTGAATCAGCTAACCTACCGGTGAAATTAAAAACCTATATGTAGTCCGGCCAATCAGCCAGTGCACTCGATCATTAGGGTCTTATCTCTGCCCCTAGCACTTGACCTTGTCGCAGGGGCCGCAATCACGGATCAGTAGTTTACCATAATTTATGTATTCCAGTTTCTGGCCCCCGTTCTGAGAGGCGGAGCTCCAAATCCGA